TTGTCAAATAATGGCAACTCCTTAGAAATGAGGCATTGAAAAAGCTCCCACTCTGTTCTGTTCCCTCTGGTACAGGGAGTACAGGACTGCTATTATTCAAGGTTACTGCTGAGAGGGGGATAGGAATGAGGCAAGTTAAAATACCACAAAGCTTGCTATAATGAGATTCTATCATTTTTCTTAAACACTCCCCGGATGGCTACAAAGTGTTAATTTCCAGAGTTCTGAGAAAGTTGAGGACGACGAAGTCCGCCATTTTTTAATGTTTTTATGGAGGGGTGAATTTTTAGAGGTCCTTACTCTGCTGTTTTGACAGATGTCTTAACATGCATTTTTAAGAAAATTTCTAATGTACTTCTATTTATTTTTGTGGAAATATAACTTCTACTGTAACTTGTTATGTCTGGTCTCACTCAAGTAACTGTCAGAGTAGCTAAAATTAAAATTTATTTTAAAAAATAAATTACTTTTATTTACTTATATTATTATTTTTTATTTTTTTACTTCTTGGGTATTTGCAATTAATCTTGCTTATACTTGCTTAATGATATTATCTATTCAACTGGCATGATGAAATGAACATTTACTGCAGACGTTACTGAGAAATAAGTAGGAGATAATACATAGCCATGTCTACATGAATGTAAGAGTTATATATAGCTTCTATCAGCAGATAAATTGTGTTCCAAAACAAACCAGTGACAAACTTAGGGAATGCACTTGCTAAAATTGCTGCTTAATTCAGATAGGTACAAGGAATGGTAACATCTGAAGTTACGTGCCTAAAATAAAAAGTTTTCCCACGTCATGAATCAGTCTGGCATTAAATCTCTATCCCTGTTAATTTTCTGTACCTCAAGATAGTCTACTGGCTTTGGATCACCATCAGTGAAGATCAAAGTAGTTAAGTAAGCCTAGTTATTCCTAAGTGGCTAGAAGTTGTCAAAATTATGGAAAGAAGGACTGTAAAAATGGTGGGTCACAAGCAGAGGTGATATTAGTCAGGGTCACTTGCAGAGACAACTGTAGCAATACTATGGGGACCATGAAATGGAAAAGTAGAGAATACTCAGAGTAGAAATCCTAGTGGGATATGGCTAAGAGCTGTGGGCCCTAGACAAAACAGAAGATGGAACAGGTAAGCGAAGAGTTGGTTTTCCAAGGTAAAAGTCCAAGAATCACACAAAACTGAAATCAAGAAGGAAAGCAGAACCAAGTAAGAAACATAAATGCAAGATTAGATTTGGCTACTGAACCTGAAAATAAACCAACCTGAAAGTATTAAACCTGAGTAAGAAAACCGTTCTTGAAGTTCTCTTCCATGAGAGACTGCTCTAGGTCAGGCACGTAACGTTTGATGTACTCTTTTAACAAGCAGTTTGTGTTTCTTTTGAAGATGAGTCATGAGCAGATCTAGCTTCCTAGCGTAACTTCCTACCTGTCTCCTGCTGCTTTGGTGTGTCTCTGTTCATTTTTTATTAGTTAAAACTTTAGAACAGGTTAAAATAGCTGATTTTGTAGCAGAAAAGTTGGTTAGAACTTTCCTCTGCAGGATAATGAAATGAATTTGTGGGCACCAGGGAAGAGCTAACATGTCTCTCCAAATACTTAATTTACAGAGAAATATTGGCTGAGGGGGTTCTTCTGCCTATACCTCCCTTTGAAAATCACCCTGGGTAATCAGCTAAACAACCATCCAGGCTGTTTGTCTTAGTTATCTAGTACTGCTATAACAGAAATATCACAAATTAATGGCTTTACCAAACAGAAATTTATTCTCTCATCATCTGTTGTTGTTGTGTGCCATCGAGTTGATTCCAACTCATAGTGACCCTACAGAACAGAGCAGAACTGCCCCATAGGCTTTCCAAGGAGTGACTGGTGGATTTGAACTGGTGACCTTTTGGTTAGCAGCCTGAGCTCTTAACCACTTCGCCACCAGGGCTCCTCTCACAGTCAAGGAGGCCATAAGTCCAAAGTCAGGGCGCCAGCTCCAGGGGAAGGCTTTCTCTCTCTGTTGGCTCTGGGGGGAAGGTCTGTGTCATTAATTTTCCCTTGGTCTAGGAGTTTCTCAGTGCAGGGATCCTGGGTCCAAGGGACACACTCCGCGCTTGGCTCTTCTTTCTTGGTGGTAAGCAGTCCCTTTCCTCTCTGCTCGATTCTCTTTTATTTCTCAAGAGAAATTGACTCATGATACAACCTAATCCTATAGATTGTCCTGCCTCATTAACATAACTGCCTCTAATCCTGCCTCATTAACATAATATAGATTAGGATTTACAATACATAGTAAAATTACATCAGATTACAAAATGGAGGACAACCACACAATACTGGGAATTACGGCCTAGCCAAGTTGACACACATTTTTGGGGAACACAATTCAATCCATCACAGCTGTGTATTACATGTGCTGGTGAGGTCATATCTCTAAAATTAAGTTTAATTTTAGATTTAAACTAACTAAACTGCTAAAAAAAATTTTAACTGTAAAGAATATCATCTAGGACTAGGCCAACTTAACTGCAATCGAACTATTCTCAGGTTAATTTAAAGGTGCCAAATATTTTCAATTTCTCTCAAAGCCTTCAATCACATACTATAATATCAGATTTCCTAAAAGTTTCACTTGGTGATGTTTCCTAAAATAAAATACAGGCTAAGACAGAAAAATATGAAGAAAGTTATGCATATTTTCCCAAGCAGTTAAAGTGGTATGTCTTTATAATACAAAAATAGTATTTCCGCAAATTTCTATCTTCACATAAATATATAAAAATTATTCAAAATAAACATTTGAGTACCCTGATTTAAAAGGCAAAAAATTATTGATATATCTAAAAGGCAAGTCAACACACAAACTGATTTTCTGTAACTCACAAACTTCTATTTTTGGTATCATTTTTCCTACAACACAATGGTGGTTTCTTTCTAGTCAAGCCACTTGGTGCCAGTGTAGGTCCATCTGTGACTTCTGGTTTCCTAAATGTGATGGTTAATTTTATGGGTCAACTTGGCTAGACCATGGTGTCCATTGTTTGGTCAAACACTAGTCTAGATGTTACTATGAAGTATTTACACGTGATTAGCATTTAAACCATCTGGCCTAAAGTAAAGCAGATTACCCTCCATAACGTGAGTGGGCCTCATCCAATCAGTTGAAGACTTTAAGAACAAAACCAGGGTTCCCAAGGGAGAATTCTGCCTCCAAATGATAAACAGACATCCTGCCAGAATTCCTCTTTGCCCCACCATCACCTGACTGCCCATTTGGAACACAAGACTACTGGAATTTTTAGCCTGTCACCTGACCTACAGATTTTAGACTTATCAGCCTCCACGATCATGTGAACCTGTTCCTCTATCTATATCTACAGTGTAATGAATTACTTATTATGGCCCTTCTAGCCACAATCTTTGTGACTCCTACACAATGATTGCATGGGACTATGCAAATAAGGTGTATGGAAGCTGTGACAGTTAAGGTTATGTGTCAATTTGGCTGGGCCCCCTGATTTTCAGTGGTTTGGCAGTTACATAATGGTGTAATCTGGCATTTAGGTAATGATGTAGTCATCCTCTATTTTATGATTTGATGTAATTATCTTCCATTTTGTGATGTGTTGTAAATCCTAGCCTCTATGCCTGTGGTTATAGTCCCATTTGAGAGTGAGTTGTCTGTTATGTTAATGAGGCAGGATTAGGGTGGGAGGTATCTTGAGCCATGGCCTTACTAGAGGGTGCGACTCAAGTCACTACCCCTACCCCAGTCACCACTCTTACCACCTTTACTCAAGTCTCACCCTTACTTGAGTTACACCTTACAAGATATAAAAGGAGAGAGAAGCAAGCAGAGAGAGGGGATGCTCTATCACCAAGAAGAAGAGCTAGGAGTGGAGCACATGCTTTGGACTCAGGATTCCTGCACTGAGAGCCTCCTACACCCAGGAGACAGACAGCTGTAACACCGGAGATGGTATAAGATGGCAAGAAGTGGCGGCAAGTGCAGCAGAGAATCGACAGCAGCGGAACCAGGAGATCGGCGTGAGTAGGCTTCCCAGCCCACAGACTGAGGTAGCTAGAGTGGGCGTGCAGACCCACGGAGCGAGAGAGCTGAGCACCTTCAGGCAGGAGGCTTCCTGGTGGAGTATGGTGCCTCCAGGCATTTGTCAGCGGAGCTAGGCTTTCTGACCCATGAAGCGAGGCAGCTGAGGGTCTTCAGGCTGAGGCTTACTGGCGGAGTGGGGTGCCCCCAAGCACCTATTGGCAGAGCTAAAGAGATCTGTAACACAGAGGCCAGGCTGAGGGCTGGAGAGAGAGGCCTGCCTGCAGACATGGCTGAGAAGAGGCTGTCCTGATCGAAGAACTGTATCCTGAGTCATTTCTGATCCTGTATTGTAACCTGTTACTTCCCTAATAAACCCCATAACTGTGAGTATTGTCTGTGAGTTTTGTGTGGCCACTGCAATGAATTATCAAACCCAGCAGAAAAGTAGAGTGCCATGGGAGGGACGAGGCACAGCTAGTGTCAGAATTGCTAAAGAGGTCGGAGAGAGGAGGTATGTCTGACCTCCACCTCACAGGAATCAGCCTTGGACTGATGACCTTGATTCTCCTTCCACCTTGTGAAGTTAGAGGTCGGACACCCTCACCACTCCATTCTTAAAATATCTTACTGGTTTTGTTTCTCTAGAGAACATTGACTAAGACACTAAGCTTGTATTTTACGTCTTTATCCTTCTACCCTACCTACTTTTGAAATGCTTATAATTTCCAAGTTGTTACCGGTACATACTTTAACATTAAGACTCTTCAATGGACATACTAATGCAATATTGTCCCATTATGTTACAAAAGTAAAGTTAGAGCACAGAACCAGAACACTACTTTAACTGGCTTTATCTTCTCATACACATGGAGAATGCTTACCAGGCAACAAGACGTATAAAGTCTCTATCATTAGTGAAGTTAAAAACCTTCAAGTTGTGGTACAAACTTACGTATTTCTTCCACAACTTGTGGGTCACATTCTTTGTATTTTTCTACTTCTGTCTTTAGCTGTTCCCGTTGGTCCCGAAGTGAAGAAAGCTCCTTTGCTAACATGGTTCGTTCTTCCTGCATTCAAAATATTTTTATGTATAATTATGAATAAAATGCCTTGTTTTATAAGGTAATACATTTTATAAATGTAATATTTTTATTTTATTTCTCATAAATGATATGCATTACGCTTTTGACCGCAATACTACATATAATCAGTTGCTGTTGATTTGATTCCAACTCATGGTGACCCCAACCGTGTCATACTAGAACAGTGTTCCATAAGGTTTTCAGTGGCTCATTTTTTGGAAGTATATTGCCAGGCCTTTCTTCTGAGGCATCTCTGGGTGGGCTCAAATTGCCAACCTTTCAGTTAGCAGCCAAGCACATTAACTGTTCACGCCACCCACGGACTCCCAAAATTATATTTATACATTCCTGAACAAAACTAGAAGTTTCCCAAGGGAGAATTCTGCTTCCAAATGATAAACAGACATCCTGCCAGAATTCCACTTTCCTCCCCATCGCCTGACCTACCCACTAGGGACACAAGACGACCAGAAATTTCCAGCCTGCTACCTGACGTGTGGATTTTAGACTTGCCAGTCTCTACAATCATGTGAGCCAATTCCTCAAAATCTCTCTATGTATATATGTATATTTATACTTAAATATTTAAGGACAGCAGAAATAGCAGAGCTGTAGCTTGTGGCCTCCTTCCACTTTCCTTTAAAGGTGAAAGAGAAAAAAACTTTTAAATACAATATGATCCAATAAACACCATTTGAAATTTCTAGCCATAATTCTCCCTAACAGGGAGAAGTGACCCTGTACTGACTAGTCATAATCACAGACATTTAATTTATATTTGTGAAACCTGAAAAATAAGTTCAAACAAAAATCAAATGCTAGCAAAGATTATGGTATGGTATCATAGGACAAATCTGAGGCAAAATCAAGTAAAGGTCAAGCTACCTAATGGAACTTGTCTAAAGTTCCTTGCTAGCTTGTATTTTCTGTATTTGTATTTACGTATTTTCCTAATTCTGTAGGCTGTTTCCTTTGGTCTCAAAGTGAAGAAAGCTCCATTACTAGCATTTGTACAGAGAATGTCTGTATAGAGAAGTATACTCTGAAGCAGCATGTCAACAGAACTCTGCAATAAGAGAAATGTTCTGTATCTGTGCTCCCTAATGCAAGAGTCACTAGCCACATATGGCTAGCATACTTGAAATGTGGCTATCGGGACTGAGGAACTGAATTTTAAATTTTATTTAATGTGAATTTAAATGTAAATAGCAGCATATGGCTAGTGTGTACGGTGTTAGACAGCACAGCTCAGGAGAGATTTAAAGATGATTACAATATAAGAAGAGGGTATTGGTGGTTCAGTGGTAGAATTCTTGCCTTCCATACAGGAGACCTGGGTTCAGTTCCTGGCCAATGCCCTCTATACACAGACATCACCTGTCAGTGGAGGCTAGCACATTGCTATGATGCTGAACAGGTTTAAGTGGAGCTTCCAAACTGAAATGGACTAGGAAGAAAGGCCTGGTGATCTGCTTCTGAAAATCGGTCAGTGAAAACCCTAGAGATCACAACAGTCCAAATCACAACAGATCATGGGGATGGGGCAATGACTAGGCAGCATTTCACTTCATTGTGTATTGGGTCCCATAAGTCGGGAGCAGACTTGAGGACAGCTAAAAGCAACAATGTAAAAAGACATCCATTATTCACCATCCCCACTCAAATTATGCGTGCTCCACAATGAAAAATGAGAGGTGAAAGAGCTAATGCAGACAGGAGAAGCAGAGTAAAGAACATACGTGTGAATACAACAGTAGCTATCCAAAAGCCTGAATTAGAAGCCACCTCAGACAGTTACCAGCACTAAGATCTGGGCCAAATTTCTTAACCTCTTTGTCCCCCCAGTGCTTCAAATGTGAAATGGAGACAGTAACAGCAGTGACCTCCTTGGGTTACTGGCAGGATTCAATGGAAAAAAAAAAAAAAAAAATTGAACAGTACCTGCCTGGCTCATAGTAAGCAGAATATACATGTTAGTTATTTCTACTTCATCATCATATCATCATCACCATTAATTACTACCATGAAGAATAATACCTAGTAGATAACCCAAACAAAACTAGATGCCATAGACTTGATTTTGACTCATGGCAACCCGATGTGTGTCAGAGTAGAACTGTGCTCCACAGGGTTTTTTTTTTTTTTAATTTTATTTATTTTGTTGTTGTTGGGAATATACACAGCAAAACATACACCAATTCAACAGTTTCTACAGGTATTATTCAGTGACACTGACTGCATTCTTTCAGTTTTGTAACCATTCTCACCCTCCGTTTCTGAGCTGTTCCTCCCCCATTAACATAAACTCACTGCCCCCTAAGGTTCCCATCTAATCTTTCCAGTTGCTGTTGTCAATTTGATACTATAGAGATAGTTCCACAGGGTTTTCAACAGCTGATTTTTTTGGAAGTAGATTGCCAGGTCTTTCTTCCAAGGTGCCTCTGGGTGGAATGGAACCTCCAACTATTCTGTTAGTAGTTGAGCATGTTAACCATTTGTGCCACTCAGGGACTCCTATCTAGTACCTGGAGGGTAGGTATTTTGAGACTTCCTGCCATGTGAGCTCAGGATGAGCACCAGAGGTCATCTCTCTCAGGAGCCTTTCTGAACTACTATGCTCTTCTGAGGGCTACAGCGATCAATCAGGTCTGTTGGTGAGGTTTTCCCCTAGTTACACTGGTTCCGGTGGGCCAAGTAACACACTGCAAGCTGGCTGACAACTGGGCACGGGCATGTCACTATTCATTGATATTGCTTCTACAAGTTCTTGTCAGTGTTAAAGAAAAAAGAGGATTAAGAAGTGGTGACTTCTGTGCTCACTTTGGCAGCACATACACTAAAATTGGAATGATACAGAGAAGATTAGCATGGCCCCTGCGGAAGGATGACACGCACATTCGTGAAGCGTTCCATATTTTTCTATAATACTTCCTCGGACTTGGACAGACATGGCTGTGGCAGCATACCTGTCTGTCTTCCCACTCTTGCCTATTCTGCAACATTCTTTGGGCCCAGGCAGACATGGCTCTAGCAGCATGCTTGTCTGTTTTCCCACTTCTGCTTATTCTGTAATATCCTTAGACTCAGGCAGACATTAGCTCTGGAAGCATGCTTGTCTGTTTCCCACTTTTGTCTTTTTGAATATATGCCAAATAAAACTTTCTTTTTCCTTTTTTTTTAAAAAAAAAAAGAAATGGTAATTTCTACTGTCAACTGAAGAAGAAACAGTTTCAGGTTATGCCCAGAACTTACCTTCTCTTGAATATTCTTCAGAAATTACCATTCTTCAATTTCTATCTGTGACTGTGCTGACTATTCATAAGAATGAATGTCTGTGAAATAACTTTGAAAAGGATAAAGCCACTGTAAACCTGTGATGTATTATTACTCCTTTCTACAATGTGACAAGTTTTAGAGTGGTTTTCTTTCACAATCAAGTGCTACAAGTTAATACCTGAAGACTTCCTGAATAGAGGCCTAGATAGAATGGGAAAAAAAAACAAAAAAAAAACCATTGAGTGGATTCCAACTCATGGTGACCCCACGTTACCAGGTTGAACTGCTCCGTAGGGTTTTCTCGGCTGTAATCTTTACGGAAGTAGATCAGTAGGTGTTATGGATTGAACTGTGTTCCCCAAAAGTATGTGCTGCAATTCCTAACCCCTATGCCTGTGGTTATGGAGCCCTGGTCCCTGGTGGTGCAGTGGTTAACAATTCAGCTGCTAACCAAAAGGTCGGCAGTTTGAATCCACCAAGCTGCTCCTTGGAAATCCTATGGAGCAGTTCTACGTTGCCCTATAGGGTCGCTATGAGTCAAAATAGACTCGACGGCAACATGTTTGGTTTGTTTGGTTTTTTTTATAATATATACCTGTGGTTAAGGAGGAAACTCTGGTGGCATAGTGGTTAAGAGCTACAGCTGCTAACCAAAGGGTCGGCAGTTTGAATTCACCAGGTGCTCCTTCGAAACTCTATGGGGTAGTTCTACTCTGTCCTATAGGGTCACTATGAGTTAGAACTGACTTGATGGCAACAGGTTTGGTTTTCTGGTTTGGTGGTTAAGGCGTCCTGGTGGTGCAGTGGTTAAGCGCTCAGCTGCTAACCAAAAGCTCAGTGGTTTAAAGCCACCAGGGGCTCTGTGGGAGAAAGATGTGGCAGTCTGCTTCCATAAAGATTTACAGCCTTGGAAACCCTACAGGGCAGTGCCCCTATAAGACAATGATGGCAATGGGTTTGTTTTTCTTTTTTGTATACTTGTGGTTATAATCCCATTTGGAAATGGGTTTTCTTTGTTATGTTAATGAGGTAGTATAAGTGTAAGGTGTGTTTTAAATCAATCTCTTTTGAGATATAAAAGGGCAGATTAAGCAAGCAAGCACAAATGAGGGGGAAGATACACACCACAGGATTGCCAAGGAACCTAGGAACAGAAGCTGGAAAGAGACAAAGACCTGCCCCAGAGGGGACGGCTTCCTCTAGGGTCAGTGCCCTGAATTCGGACTTCTAGTCTCTTAAACTGTGAGAAAATAAATTTCTGTTTGTTAAAGCCACCCACTTGTGGCATTTCCGTTATAGCAGCACCAGATAACTGAGACACCAGGCCTTTCTTCCACTGTGCCACTAGTTGGGGTCGAACCATCAACCTTTAGGTTGGTAGTCGAGTGCAAACCATAAATGCCACCCAGGGACCTTTACATGGAATGTAGTTAGTGGGTCATGTTGATTTTCAATATTTTTTAAAGTCCAAGGTTGAGATAAAGATAAACTACAAAATAAAATGATTTTTTTTTTAATCCCTAACAATACTTTAGGGAACAATACACTTTTAAAAACAAAATAGGTCAGTATTCATTTAAATAATTTAAAAATATTACAAGGCTACAAGGATATTATGTTGATAGTTTTCAGTTTATTCTGTTCAAAATTAAAAAAAAGAAATCAAAACATGACTCTTAAAATATTTATGCAAACATTTATATAGGGCTTACTATGTGTCATGAGCCCTTGGGTACTAGAAATGGTTAATGAGCTCAGCTGCCAACCAAAAAGTTAGAAGTTTAAATCCACCCAGAGGTACCTCAGGAGAAACGACCTGTGCCAGGTCCTCTTCTAAGTGCTTTGCAAATATTAACTAGTTTAACCCAATGAGGCAGATTTTATTATTTCCCATTTTACAAATGAGGAACAGTGAGTTTAGGAAACTTTCAGATCCAGTCAGTCTAGCTCTAGGGTTTATGCTTCTATGCTATGTTGCCATATACAATACCCTAATAATAATAAAAATCTGGATTCTCGGTTGTGAACACTACCATGTCAAACCTTCTCATGTTCTTTCTACTTCTCTTCTGTAAGTAATGATATCCTCTCCCCTCTGTGTCCTTATTCTTCTACTTATCATTGCCATTATTAGAGAATCAAAAGAAACAAACTTACTGTCTCATGGCGGCCAATTTTAGCCTTCTCAATGCTTTTCTGTAGGTTTGTGTGCTTTTGGCTTCCCTCAGACAACTAGAATATCAAAAACAAATAAAATGGCTTACTAAGATGAGATTTTAACATAGCCCAGGTCAAAAGAACAAAAAAGTGAAGGACTACATTGAGAACTCCTGTGATTAAAAACAACAACAAAAACTAAGGGGCCATCAATCATTAAGGTAGACTGAAAAAAAAATTTTAAAAATATTTTCTTACTCTATGCAGAAAATGAATATGCTTTCATTCTTTGCTACAGAGTCTTCATTTATCAAGATCCCGACCCCATCTCCAAATAACAACTTGAGGTCTACTATTATTTAGTCAAAAAATGAACTAAAAAAATTTTTAAAAAATCTAAAGTCTTTTCAAAATACCCTATTGCTGATGTTTTCTTATAGACTTGTAGTTTTGTGATATTTCACTAACAGTCAATAATGGATGTATCACACTCTCAGCAAAATAGGAATAGATGGGAAACTCCTCAATATAATAAAAGGCATTTATACAAAACTAACAGCCAAAATTACTCTCAACAGAGAGAGACAGAAAACATTCCCCTTGAGAAAGGAAACCAGATAAGGATGCCCTTTATCACCACTCTTACTAAACACTGTGCTGGATATCCTAGCTAGAGCAATAAGGCAAGAAAAAGAAATAAAGGGCATTCAAATTGGTAAGGAAGAAGTAAAACTATCCCTATTCAGAGATGATATGATCCTATACATAAAAAACCCCAAAGAATCCACAAGAAAGTTACTGGAACTAATAGGTTTCAGCAAAGTAGCAGGATACAAAATTAACATACAAAAATCAGTCGGTTAACAATAAAGAGAACATCAAAATGGCAATCAGGAAATTAATACCATTTACAATCACACCCCAAAGGATAAATACTTAGGAATAAATCTAAGCAGGGACATAAGACATCTACAGAAAGAAAACGACAAAACACTACTGCAAGAAACCAAAAGAGACCTACATAAACGGAAAAACGTACCATGCTCATGGACAGGAAGACTCAACATTGTGAAAATGTCAATACTACCCCAAAGTGACCTACAGATATAATGCTATCCTGATCCAAATTCCAACAGCATTCTTTAAATCACCGACGTTATATGGAAAGGGAAGAGGCCCCAGATAAGTAAAGCATCACTAAGAAGAAGAACAAAGTGGGAAGCCTCACACTACCTGATATTAGAAGCTACTATACAGTCACAGTAGTCAAAAAAGCCTGGAAGGTACAACGACAGATACACAGACCAATGGAACAGAATTGAGAATCCAGACGTAAATCCATCCACCTACGGGCAGCTGATATTTGACAAAGGGCCAAAGTCCATTAAGCGGGGAGACAGTCTCTTTAACAAATGGTGCTGGCATAACTGGATGTCCATCTGTAAAAAATGAAACAGGACCCATACTTCACACCATACACAAAAACTAACATAAAATGGATCAAAGACGTAAATATAAAACCTAAAATGATAAACATCATGGAAGAAAAAATAGGGACAACTCTAGGGGCTCTAACACATGGCATAAAAAGAATACAAACCATAACTAATAATGCACAAATACTGGAAGATAAACTTGGCAACTGCAAGCTCCTGAAAATTAAACACTTACGCTCATCAAAAGACTTCACCAAAAGAGTAAAAAGAGAACCTACAGACTGCGAAAAAAATTTTGGCTATGACATATCTGACAAGGGTCTAATCTATAAAATCTATAAAATACTTCAACGCCTCAACAAAAAAAGACAAATAATCCAATTAAAAAATAGGAAAAGGATATGAACAGACACTTCACCAAAGAAGACATTCGGGTGGCTAACAGACACATGGGGAAATGCCCACGATCATTAGCCATTATGCAAATCAAAACTACGATAAGATACCATCTCACCCCCACATTACTGGCACTAATCAAAAAAACAGAAAATAACAAATGTTGGAGAGGTTGCGGGGAGACTGGAACTCTTCTGCACTGCTGGTGGGAATGTAAAATGGTACAACCACTATGGAAAATGATAAGGCATCTCCTTAAAAAGCTAGAAATAGAAATACTATAAAATCCAGCAATCTCACTCCTAGGAATATATCCTAAAGAAATAAGAGCTGTCACACAAATAGACATACGCACACCCATGTTCATTGCAGCATTATTTACAAAAGCAAAAATATGGAAAAAACCTAAGTATCCATCAACAGATGAATGAATAAACAAATTATGGTACATACACATAGTGGAATACTACGCAAGGATAAAGAACAATGACGAACCTGTGAAATATCTCACAACATGGATGAATCTGGAGGGTACTATGTTGAGTGAAATAAGTCAATCACAAATGCACAAATACTGTATAAGACCACTATTATAAAAACCCAAGAAAAGATTTACACACAGAAAAAAACAATCTTTGAAGGTTATGTGGCGGAGGGGTTAGGGAGCAGAAAATCACTAACTTGAGAGCAGACCAGTGTTAACTTTGGTGATGGGAAAGAGAACACACAATACAGAGGGAGTCAGCACAACCTGACTGACTAAGGCAAAGTCATGGATGCTTCCTAGACACATCCAAACACTTTGAGGGACCGAGATACTGGGACTGAGGGCTAGGGACCATGGTCTCGGGGGACATCTAGGGCAATTGGCATAATTAAGTTCATAAAGAAAATGTTTTATATCCTACTTTGGTGAGTAGTGTCTGGGGTCTTAAAAGCTTGGGAGCGGCCATCTAAGATACATCTATTGGTCTCATCCTGTCCAGAGCAAAGGAGAATGAAGAAAACCAAAGACACAAGGGAAATATTAGTCCAAAGGACTAATGGACCATAAGAACCATAGCCTCCACCAGCCTGAGCCCAAAACTAGATGGTGCCCGGATACCACCACATACTGCTCTGACATGGATCACAATAGAGGGTTCTGGACAGACTGGGAGAAAAATGTAGAACAAAATTCAAATTCATAAAAAAAGACCAGACTTACTGGTCTAACAGAGACTGGAGGAACCCCCAAGAGTAAAGTCCCCAGACACCTTGCTAACTCAGAACTGAAGCCACTCCCAAAGTCCACGTTTCTCAGCCAAAGATTAAACAGGTCTATAAAACAGTAACACACGTGAGGAACATGCTTCTTAGTTCTATCAAATATATGAAACCAAATGGGCAACACCTGCCTGAAAGCAAAGACGAGAAGGCAAGAGGGACAGGAAAACTGGACAAATGGACACACAGGGAACCCAGGGTGGAAAGGGGGAGAATGCTGACACAATGCAGGGATTACAACCAATGTCACAAAACAATTTGTGTATAAATTTTTCAGTGAGAAAATAATTTGCACAGCACAGTTCCATCTAAAGCACAATAAAATTAAAAAATAAATAATGGACACATCACTTATTTTTAAATGAGTTACTTTGTGAGAAACGGTACACTTTACATACTAAGTTTTCAGAGAAGAAAAAATTCGTTAGCCTGTTAAGAGTTACGTATCTTGCTCTGACAGAGATCACAATAGAGGGTCCCAGACAGAGCTGGAGAAAAACACAGAACAAAATTCTAACTCACAAAAAAAGACCAGACTTACTGGCCTGACAGAGACTGGAGAAATCCTGAGAGTACGGCCCCCGAACACCCTTTTAGCTCAGTAATGAAGTCACTCCTGAGGTTCACCCTTCATACAAAGAATAGACAGGCCCATAAATAACAAAACAAGACTAATGGGGCACAACAGCCCAGGGGCAAGGATTAGAAGGCAGGAAGGGACAGGAAAGCTGGTAATAGGGAACCCAAGAATGAGAAGGGACAGTGTTGACATGTTGAGGGGTTGTTAACCAACGTCATAAAACAATATGTGTACTATTTAATAAGAAGCTAGATCGCTCTGTAAACCTTCATCTAAATTACAATTAAAAAAAAAAGAATTCTCACACATACGCATTAGGAGAAAAGTAAAAATAAGTTATAGCAGTGTTTTTTTAAATTTTAATAAATCTGAATACTAATCGGATGTTTACTAACAAGAAAAAAGTTATGCATCTTAAAAGTGATCAGCTTATGAATTTTACTCAGTTTTGAAAGTAGATAAGTTATATGTAGAAATGGATTAAATAGTACCAACATAAAGGTACCACAGATATGGAATATTCATTAGCAGGTGGCTACACGCAGACCAAACAGGACTGGTAAATTTCAGAAAATTGCTTCCCCGTCTCAGTTTTATTAACCTCACCTGGGCCTATGAATAAATAAATAATCACAGGACATTCCTATACTAAATTCTCCACTATGCCTTTTTCTATAAACGAGTTTCAGACTCATTTGACTGGGAATCTTCTTAAAATATATTCTATACCTACCCCAACTCTTGAGTTATAAACATTTAGAAAATAATTAATGATTGTATAAATTTAATATCTTTTGGTTGATTACAAGAAACTGACTTTTCACAATGTGACCTAGCCATACACAGAGGATGAATAATATTTAGATAACTTTTTCCCCTTAAAAAAACAAATATTATCTTCAAAAAGTTAGCAGCTTCACCTGACTTTAAAAAATCTTCCACTTCCCAATATGCATAAAGGGAGCATTGTAAACTTTCCTTTAATAGTTCTCCAGTCACTGATTCTAATCCATAGCACAACATACCATCACCAAACCAGTTATACCTCTTCTTGAGAGTTAATTATCTTTGAGTTAAAAAAAAAAAAAAAACTCTATTGTAGATTTAAGAGCCAAAATAAGCATTAAGGCCCTAAATTTAACAAGGGGATCTAATATTTAATAACAAGAGTTTCCATTTATAAAATAAAGCCATGTTTAAAATTTTGACATTCCACCCTGATGGATCCTCCTAAAATAATTAGTAAATTAGTAACATTTATATTAAGGGGTAGAGGACTTTTCCAATTAAAACACACACACATTAATGTAACAATTTTTTCCATTTAAAAATGTTTTAAATATAATTAGACAAGTAGATGTTATCTTAAATGTTAACAATTGTATAAAAGTCAATAA